AAGAAATACCTCTGGAGCTACCATTAAAGCAAACATTAAAAAAAATAAATCAAATCAGAAATAGGCAAAGATGGAAACTGCAAAAAAGATTTCAAAGAATTCTAAATAATGAAAAAACACAAAAAATTGATTGGACAACCACATTTAAATCATTGTATCCCAGTAAAATAACAGATCATAATACAAGTAAAGAAGACCAGGTTAAAAGAAGCTTTGAATGAAACTCTTCAATGGAGAATTACCAGTAATGCTTCAAAGATTCAAGCACCAACTTTACATATATAGTAATCCAAAATGTATACTATGTGGAAAATATGAGGAAACTGATATACATGTATTTTAATATAAAAGAAACAACAATGGAGATAATACATGCACTCCAATGAAAGGAAATTATAAACAACTAATAGATTGCTTGACTACAAGACACAAACAGAAGAGATTAATGAAGATAAAATACAAAGAGAACTTAGATCTCTAAGTGAATTATGGCATTGGTGGGAGGGCACAAATAAAATGTGCTCACCTTGAATTATATTGCATGAATTAATTAAGAGATTTATACCTTACTCATTAGTTTATAAAGTTACTTCAATGTTGAAATCAAGAGGAAAAGCTAAATAATCAATTATTGAAGGAATGATTAACTTCAAAGAATATTTAAAAGACCACTGGAAAGAACGATATAAAAAAGTAATATTATGGAAAACTGAAAACAATATTACAAACAAACTAAAAAAAAACAAAAAAAGGAGGAAAATTTTTTTAAAAGCAGGAGGAAAATGAAAGAATGTAATGATAAGAACATTGATAGCAGTTCAGCATCAGTAGAATCTATTGAGGGGAAATATAATAAAATTGAACTAATAGAAAAAAATACAATGCATAAATTTAGAATGTGGATAAACTTAGGATGCAAATATGATATTAATTATAATTATAGATATAATCATTATATCTCAATGGAATTTTGGCCATCAGTTCCTGAGATTATACTTAGGTAATGATGAGTCAGATCGTAAAATTTTATTTTTAGTCAGTTTCAATAAATGTAAAATAAATTATCTGTATCTTTAAAATTTACACTTAATATATTAATAAAGTTTATTGGAGCAAGACTTCGTTGGATATAAAAATAGAATTTTAAATCTTGTGCAGAGTAGAATTCTATAAGCAAAAATTTGTGTGGATACCTTTTTTTTATGTGCGGAGTTCAAATTTTGTATCATATTTTCATAGACTTATTATAAAGATAATAAATAATAAATTTTGTTATTATTAAATACAAATTTTTGAGTTGTAAATTAATACTGTTTTTTATCTACCAAGAAAGAAAATTAATTTAAAATATTTAATATGAAAATATAAATATTTACAATAGACATCAGGAAATTTCTAGATGTAAATCAGAATATCTCAGTGCTACAGGGATGAAACACATATTATTTTGTAGTCCAGAACTAGGACTTTTGTTTGATCGTGAGAATGTGAACCTGTAATTTTGAAACCTATCATTGCACCACTTGAATTTCAAGGAGCAGTAATAGAAAGCTTGAATAAACAATATGGTACCATTGTAAACACTGAAGTTTAAGATAATCTGTGACAAATACAGAAATTTTTTTAAAAAATATGTTTGGACACTCATCAGATTTAAGAAGTCTTACATAGGTAATTAAACATTTTGTATATTAATTTTTTTATTTATATAATCATTATAATTAATTTCTTTTTTTTTGCATTTTTGGGATGATTGAAAACAAATAAGATAAAGGAGAATTCTCTATGGATAACAAGACTCATTAACCTGTCATGCCTTATATTCATGAAGAATTAATAGCTAAATATAAAAAGAAAATAGCCAAAAAAAATGAATAGTTTTTGAAACATTTCATTTTTATAGAATCATGAATAGTTATTGTTATTTTGTCACAAGATCATACTAATCCCGAAGTCATTTAGAAATTTATTTATCTAATCTGTTCTCTTCTCAATTACATTTCTTGACTAGAATTATTACCTATTGTATTAAATAATATATTAGACAATATGAATTTCTATACTGTTACAGTATTCAGACATTATTTAACAAATAATATCTAGTGTAAAGTCCATTTTAGAATTTCCTCTACACAAAAGAAGTAAATTCTCTACTCTTACCAAACAAAAAATATCCAATCTTAGCATAAAAATATTTGTGGGTAAAACTACAAAATCATATTTGGCACTCCAATAGATTTAATTAAACATCAATTGGCAACATTTCAGAACAAATAAGAGAAATTGTAAATCAGTTAATTTTGTATTTGTTAAGATATTGACATGAATTAAAAGTATTAAAACTTTTAAATCATTCTATATTATCTGATACATATGTCGTATAAGCTTTGTTACTGTATAACAGATAAATATGATGATAATTATTATAAAAGTCCTTTGTATTGTGGTGGCTCAAATGTTACTGTAATGTTTCAGAGTATTATGAATGTCACAAAGGATAATGACAAAATAAAAGTGATATCTAGATGAGTGTGCTACCATCCAGGATAACAGATTCTTCATCTCAAACAATGTCGTTCATCTTTGCATGTCATCTTTAAAAAAAGGAAAAAACATGCTCAGATGTGACAATAGATAATAAGGTAAACAACCCAAAGGCATAAAATAACTAGAGAATCTTTTTAGGAGGAGATAGACACCCTTTTTTTAAGGCTTTATAATTTTCTTTTGATTTCTGAAATTTACATTTTTATTTCCTTATATTTGCAGAAAACATAATAATAGTAACTTTAATGAAAAGTTTGTAATAATTTGAGAAACAATAAATATTCTTTTGTAATGGTTTAGCAATAGGAATAAGACATTTCAAAGCAGCGATATATTTTTATTGCTATACTTTACAATAAATTTTATAAAAATAGTAATAAATTTGAAATATCTTTAATACTTCAATAAAATTCATAAATTCCAAACAAATCTGGAAAATCCTTTCCACTGATCAATTTTATCAAAATATCCAAGAAAAGAAAGTTCTTATCAAAAACAAACAAAAAGATAAATAAAACAATAAAGAAAGTCAGAAAAAAGTATGATAAATAGAAGTGAATGCCCAAGACCTTCAAAAGCAATTTATGGAATTATATTTAGTGATATAAATACAACCAGAAGAACTGTGATGTGAAAAGCACCCAGCATGGACTCAAAAGCATTGTTGCAAATGCTTACAGATCCAAATTTAATGCAAAAGCTAGTACAAGCAACTTAAACAAAGAAATAAAAACAACAAAGACAAATATAAATAACACAGAGGCATCATTGACTGAATAGAATTTATTATTAAATCAAGATAATATAATTGAAGAAAATACAGATAATATTACTAAAGCAATCGATAAAACAATGAAAGATGAAAAAGGTAAAAAGAATGAGATTAATATTGAAAAAGATGAGAAAATAATGAAACAACTGAACAAAATATTACAAGTACAGAAACAGATGATATCAAATCATTAATTTCAGAAGATAGCTTTTTAAGAGAACACAAGGAATGGAGGAAAAAAATGAATTTTCAAAAATATAAAGTATGGATTAAAACAGAAGTAGTTATGGAAAAAAACTTAAAAGACAAAATAGATATGATTGTAAATTCATTAAATAAAAATAATACTAATATTATTACAATAAAATTGAAGAAAATTTGAAATATAAAAAACTATATATTACAATATATCTGAAAAAAAGGAAGATATGGAAAAGGCATGTAAAATTGAAATTGACGGAACACAATTAAATGATAGGTCAACTTAAAAAGAGCAGCAATAAACTAAAACAGAAAAACAAACAATGAAAAAGAAATTAAATTTTGGGATATACCAATTGGCATGCAAGAACAAGAATTTAAATGCTAAAAAATAAATTTGGAAATGTAACCTCATGCAGCATGAGCACAAGGGAAGTGTGATCATCTGCAATAGTACAATTTAAGAAAGAAGATACAGCTAAAAATCTATTAATGGAATCATCACAAATAATTGGTGAAGAATCATGCAAAGTAACATTTCCACATGCAATTTTACTGAACTTAAAGAAAGAGGCAAATACACAGTAAAGATTATCAATTTACTATCTAATATTACTGTATGGAAATTATATAATATGATAAGTCCATTAGGAGCCAAAACATGTTATTTTCCAAAAAATTTATATGGAAAAAAGAAAAGAATGGCAATAGACTTCTTTGAGAGTAAAGAAGGAAAAGATCAAGTTATAAATTTTGAATGGACTGCAGGAGAATTTAAAGTTAAAATAGTGAATTTAGCATCAAAAATGTACCATAGATGTCATGCAGAAGATCATTTGGTGATCACCTGTGGCACAGAAACAAAATGAAATTAGTAAAAAAAAGACAAGAGACTTTGAAAAATATGGACACCTATACAAAAGATAAAGACCTCAGCTATATAGACCTTTAGCTGAAGGAATTAACATTGGAAACAAGTTATGCAGATGTAATGAGAAATAAACAAACAGAAGATTTAAGCAAAATTCAACAGAAATTAATGACTCTACAAATAAAGATATTATGAAAATTTTGCAAGAAATCCAACAAGATGTACAAGAAATTAAGGAACAGATGACAGATATAAATGGAAGATTAAAACTTGTAGAAGACCATTGTGCTCAGAATTGTTAAATGATAAAGAAGTAGAAGGAATGGACACTGGTGATGAAAAAAATGTGGAAAAAACTCAAAAATATAACCAGTTAATGTAGAAGGAAAAAGGAGGAAACAATCAATCATATAAATGAAACAGCTAAATCATTGCTAGAAGATAATAAAAAAATACGCATGATTAATTAAGTAAAAAATTAAATTGGAGCAAAGAATGTTTGTACAAGTAGGGGACATACCTCAAGTATAAGGAATCAAATCTTAAAAACATTATATTATGATATACAATCATAAAAATATAAACAGTAATAATAATATAATAGAAAACGAACATAATAATAATACAAATAATAATATTAATAATCAAAATAATAATAATTTTTTTTTAAATAATAAATTTTTAAAAAATAGTTCAGGAAACATTATAAAACAAAAAAAAAATTTAAAAATAAAGAAAAAAGAAAAAACATAAATAAACCAAGTGATATAAATAATGGACTAGTAATAAATAATAATAGTGTATTAAATATTGATCAAAAAATGATAATGTTATAACAAATAAAAAACTGGTTCAGAATGAAATAAAAATTTTAAAAATAGCTACTCAAAATATAAGGGGAGTAACAAACATCACAAAACAAATAGATTGGTTAAAATATTGTGAAGAAAAAGATTTTGATATAGTTGGACTAACTGAAACCTGAGCAAATGCAAATATATTTTGAAAAATGATACAATCAAAAATATATTAAAAAAAGATAAAAATACAGATGAATATAAATACTTTGAGAAAATGGAGAACAAACAAATGGATCAGGAGTCAAAAGTCAAAATTATGATTAAAAAAACATGGACAAAATATGTCTATAAAATTGTCATCCAAGAAATGAATTAAATTACAAATAATAGTGGTATACTATTCAAAAAGCATAAGCCAAAGGAAATTAAGAACACATGTAACAAAGTGGACAATACAAGAGTTAAACAATTGTATAGTTATAGATAGACATTATGCAATAGTTATTGGGAATTTTAATGCTATATTCAATCCTAAAATTGACAGATTTAATATTAACATTAATGCAAAAAATAGATCAAATAAGCCTGAAAGCAAAATTCTGCAATTTCTAGACAATAACAGATTCAAGGGTACATTTAGAACATATAAAGATGCTATAAAAAAATGAAAGTGCACAGAACAAAGTAAATTAAATTTCTCTTGGAGAAACAGTACCCAGGACATAAAAAGTAGAATTGATCAAATATGGGTATCAGATAATCTAGTAGACCAACTCTTTTGTACTGACATTATACCCACAGATTTGGAAAGTCATAGTGAATGCATATGTAATGACTGAAATAGAAGAAAACATATTTAAAAATACTAGATCAATAACAAATCCAAATGAAACTCCAAATAGAATAGAATTTAACTTTAAGGAAAAATCTGGAAAAAAATGGAAAAAATTTAGGTTACAGATTGAATTTGTTATAACAGAAAACATCACCACAGGAAATGACAACATAGAAGAAAAATGGAACCTTTTCAGAAATGTTTTAATTCAAAAAGTAAATGAAATAATTCCAAAAAAGAAAAAACTTGTATTTTGAAAGTATGAGGAATCTAAAGCACTATATAATAATTTCATCATATATAGAAACCTGTTATCTGTAAGAAAATTTTTTGAGTGGAGCAGACAATGGTATATCAACAAAAAACAAAGGAATTTGTCAGAAGAAAAAATAGAAAGAAAATTAAAAAAAATTAAGGAAAAATACAATATAAAAATTACAACTCCAGTATGGACGGTAAACACCTGATGATACTAGAAATTTGTTAAAAGAAATCAAAAAGATGCATCAAACTTTACACAAAGTATGAAAATTATAAAGAATCAAAGAATAAATAATCAAAAGAAATAAAAATTTTCAGAACAATAAAAAAATAGTCATTCAAAGTCTTTTGAACAGAAAAAGACCAAGAATATTAACAGACAGTTTAACAAGAACAACTAATAGACAAGTTAAAATATTAACAGATTCAGAAGAAATAAAACAGGAAGTTAAAAATGTATTCAGTCACTGTATCACTTCAAAAAATATAGAAGACCTAAATCAAAAACAAGAATGGAAACAAATTTATAATCAAAAAAATAGAATACAAGAGGAATGGTACTTCCTACTAACTAAAAAATTTGCAGTTGAAGAAATAGAGGGAATCATTAGAAAATTATCAAACAAAAAAGCACCAGGCCCATTTACAATTACCAATGAATTATGGAAACATATAGGTAACAATGCAATTCAATTTCTTAAAGATATATTTAACCAGATTCTAAAAAAATAAAGATATTCCAAAAGAATGGTAAGAGGGATATATATTCCCTATAGCTAAAACTAAAGATTGAAAGAAATACTGGACCAATAACTTTACTAGAAACAGTAAGAAAGATTTACAAAAGGAATTTAAAATAGACTCAGTACAATTTTAATAAAACATAAAATTCTAAATAAAACAATTGGACAAACTTGCCTTTGGGATTGACACAAGGTTCAATACATAATTTATCACTATTTTTGAAATGGTCCAGTCAGGTGTTCTGTGATACAAAAATTTTTTGCAGATCCCACAAATATTACACAATCGTGTATAATAAAAGTCTACCAAATAAACAAATAATATTATTTTTATACTATTTTTTATTTGTCTATACACCAACATTTTTTTTATTGAGTTTTGACATAAATAATAGTAGGTTTCTTCCCTTTGATTTCAGCGATTACAGTTTCTTTTTTTTCAACTTTGGCGATTACAAGTTTTCTAATAAATATTGAAATTACAGATGCCACAAGAATACAGTGAAGACTTTCGCTGGTGAGTAGTTTATTTAGAAAGTGAAAGTTATAATGCACAAGAAATTTCTAAAACTTTATTCATTGGTAAATCTACTGTAA